CTACTACTAACTACTACTAACTACTATAACTACTAACTAATACTACTAACTACTACTACTAACTACTACTACTACTACTACTACTACTACTACTACTACTACTACTACTTACTACTACTACTAACTACTACTACTACTACTACTACTACTACGTACCACTACTACTACTACTACTACTACTACTACTACGTACTACGTACTACTACTACTACTACTACTACTACTACTACTATCACCACCACTACCACTTCTCTACCATTACACTTTCTTTTACGCACTAGCTATAGCCTACGACCTACTACCAACTGCATGCCAACGACTACCTCCCTTAGTCCTACTTCCACTTCCTACCACCTACCACCTCCACTAGGTACTACCTACGACGTACTACACACTACGTACGACGACGACTACCACTACTGCTAAGACTATCACTGCTACTATTACTACTACTAGTACTACTACTGCTACTACTACTACTACTACTACTGCTGCTCCTGCTGCTGCCGCTGCTAGTGGTAGTACAGGTGTCAGTGCTGGTACAAGTAGAGGTACGACGACATCGACGACAACAACAACTACTACTACCACTACTAATTACTACTACTTCTACGACGACGACGTCGTCGCCGTCCAAACTCGCTTTCAGGTGAGCTGACCTTGGACGAACTTTTGGAAGGTGCACGTACCTTGGGCGTTATGGCGCAGGTGGTCTCAGCAATCTTGATCTCTGATTGTCAACCCTTCATCCCGATTTCATCAGGACAGGCAGACACTCCGCCAAGTCTGTTAGGCCAAGGCCCTCAGCCCACGGCTACGAACCAAGCCCTGATCCCGCAAACCCAACACCCTAGGGCTCCTTGTTATAAGTTATATTATAACGACCCCTGAGACTATAATATGCCGCAAAGGCCTCTTCTAGTTATTCAAGGCCCCATATGGGTAGTTCTTTAGAGGAAACCCATATTTGTAATTCTCTGAACTAGGGTCCCTTTCTGGGTCCCCAAACCCTAAGCCCTAAACCCTAAACTCTAAACCCTAAGCCCTAAACTCTAAACCCTAAGCCCTAAACCCTAGCGCCCTTATAAGAAGGACCCCAAAACCCTATGCCCACGCGGAGCCTTCGGCTTCTCCCAGGAGTTTGTTCTTGGGCTCTTTACGGTTTAGGGTTTTGGGTTTAGGGGTTTTAGGGTTTAGTGGTTTTAGGTATTTTAGGGTTTCGGGTTTAGGGTTTAGGGTTTGGGGTTTTAGGGCTTTTAGGGTTTAGGGTTTGGGGTTTAGGGTTCAGGGTGGCTTGGGCAGTTCGTGCAGTCAATATAGGGTTTGTTGAGGTTTTTTTAGGCTTTGAGGTTTGCTGGGTGTGCACACACCAGCGAGCGCCCATGATGTCACTACGGCCGAAACCCCAAACCTTGAACCCCAAACTCTAAACCCCACGCCCCAAACTTCAAACCCCAAATCCTAACCCCCAAACCCTGAACTTCTGAACCGTAAACCCTCTCTCGAAAATTCCAAGATCTCAGGCAGGGATCCCGAGTTTCAGAGCCGTCTGCGTGTCATGGACATTGATGCAGCTCCGCAGCGTTTTGGGTATGGGGCTAAGGGCTTAGCGTGTACTGGGTTGTTGTTAAGAAACCTAGTTCAAGCTACCCTAATATAAGCATCTTACTGGATAATATGGTTTCCTTGGTATCTTGAACTAAGTTCATTAAGAGGAACCCAGTTTAGTCTTTACTTGGGGTTTGTGGTGTAGGGTGTAAAGTTCAGGGTTTAAGGCTTAAGGTTTAGGGTTCAGGGTGGAGGGCTCAAGATTTGGCCCTAAACCCTAAACCCTAAACCCTAAAGTTGAGGGAAGGTTTGGGGCTTCGGTGAAACCCTAACACCGAAGACTGAAGAAGTGCTTTCCGGGTTTGAGCTTTTCAGTTTGTCGAGACCCTAAACTCCCAGACCCCACACCTTCGTATTGATACACCTCCGTGTTGATACACCAGGAAGTGGATCTGCGGCAACTCTTCGAAATGATTGATGTGGACGGCTCCGGAGCCCTGGTAGAGCCAGCCTTTTTTTGTGTAGGGCTTAGGGGTTTTGTTGTGTTTTGGGCTTTGTGTTGTTGCTCGTTTCTTGGACGGAGGGGGTGGGAATGTTCAGCTATGGTCTGTCTATAGGGCGAGGCTTTTGAGCAGCACACTTGCATATGTTTTCTTCTGTTTAGCTTCGGGGTTATTACCGTATAGTATTACCGGGAGGTTGTCGGCTAGTGGGGACCCCTACCTGCCTAAGGCCGAACATTAAGATCATTAAGATGCCTGTTGCACTCCTTATCAAGGGAGGTTGGTTTCCCAATCACAAACCATTATTCCTAGAGTCGGCACGCGTTGGCAAGCTGGACTTTGCGGGCCTTCCCCAGCAATGATCCTGAGAGCTTGGTTCGGAAGGTTACGGGACCTTGTGTCTTTTAGCTGGTATCGGATTTCCAGCCGCTTTTTTGATAGTCAAACATTGAGCTTCAGTTAAAATGTCAGATTGTGGCGGTGACGCGGTCGTAAGAAAATCCGCGCAGACGAGCGCAGCCGAGCAGCCGAGCGCAGCCGAGCGCA